TTTTTTTGTTGGTGGTGCTCTTCCTGATTTTTGTTATGTGATTTTGCAGGTGTTTTTTGTTTTCTTTTCTCTTTTCTTCGTGCCTTCTTGTTGTTTATTCTGTTTTTTGTTTTATTTTTTCTTTATTTTTTTTATTATCTTTTGTTGTTCTGTGTGTTTCTTCTTCATATATTTGTTTTTATCGACGTTTTTTTGTTGCTTACTTGATTTTTTTGTATATTTCTTTGTCTTGTTGTACTTGATTTTTTTTTTCCTGTGATGTTTTTTGATTTTTTTTCTTGGTTTATTATTATTTGTTTTTATTTGGCTTCATGTTATCTTTTTGTTGTATGTGTTTCATTTTTGGTTTTGGTTTTTTTTTTTTTGGTTTTTGTTTTTGTCTTTTGGTTTTTTGCTTGCTTTTTGTTGTCTTTTTTTGTTTTTTTTGCTGTTTATGTTGTTGATTTTATGTAGTATTTTCGATTCTGTTGATCTTGCATCTTTTATTTGTTTGTGTGTGATGTTTTTTGTTTCATTATTTTATTTCTTTTGTTATTCCTTATTTCTTTTTTGGCATTGTTGTTCTTTAGTATATCTTTGTTCATTTGTTCTATTTTTTCTTCTTTTGACTAATTCTTTTTTGTTTTTTTTGTATTTGTTTTTGTTTTGACTTTTTTTCTTTTTCTGTTTATGGTTTTGATTTTTTGATGTTTATTTTGTCCATGTATCTTTTACTTTGTTTCTTATTTTTTTTTTTTTTTCTTTTCGTTTTTTTATTGTTTTTTTTGTAGTTTTTTGTTGTTTCTTTGTTTTGTGTTTATTTTTGGTTTTTTTTTTTTTTTTTTGTGACTGTTTTTGAAGAACCTATCTTTTTTTTCTTTTTTCTTTTTCATTTTTTTTCTGTTTTCATGTTTGTTGTTTGTCCTGTTTGCTTCTATTTTTTTTTTGCTTTTTGTATTTGTTTTTCTTTATGATCTTTAGTTTTTTTTTTTGAGAGTTTTGTTTTGGTTTTTTTGTGCTTTACTGTTTTTTGTGTTTTTGTTCTTTTTTTTATGTTTTTTTTTGTTTTGTTCGTTTTGGTGTTTTTGTTGTGTGTTTTTTTTCTTTTGGTTTTTCTTTTCTTTTGATTTTTTTGTTTGTTGAGTGTTTTTTTATTTTTTTTTTTCTGTATTATATCTTTTTTTTCCTTGTTTCTTGTTTGTTGTTTGTCTCCTTGCTGTTTGTTCTTATTCTACTTTTGTTTTTTTTTCTGAGGGTTTTTTTATTTTCTTGAGATGTCTCTGATTTGCGGAAGGATTATCTTTGTTTTTGTCTTTTCTTTCTTTTTTTTCGTTTTTTTTTTTTTTTATTTTTGTCTTTTTTCTTTGTTTTCTTTGTTATTGTTTTCGTTACCTTTGTTTTGTTTTTTCCTTTTTTTATTTTGTTTTTTGTTCTTTTCTTCTTTGTTTTTTTCCTTTGTTTTTCTGTTTTTTTTGTTGTTCTTTTTTTTTGTTTTTTTGTTTTATGTTTTTTTTGTTTGTGTTTTGTGTTTTTGTTTTTGTGCTTCTTATTTGTGTTTTTTTTATTTGTTTTTTATTCTTTTTTGTTTTTGTTCTTTTTTTATTGATGACTTGATGTGTTTTGTCATTTGTTTGTCTAATGTTTTTTTTTTTTTTTGTGTTTTTGTGTTATTATAAACTACCACTATTTAATAATTGCTAGAAATGAAGTTAAATTTGAAGTGCAGAGAGACAATTAAATTTAAAATTGCAATTCGTTGACTTTATTATTTTTATCTGGTAAATATTGCATTGTCTTTTTTTCTTGTGTTTTTGTGGTGATAACGCTTTGAGTGGGGTTGATGCTTCGGGTTCTTCAAGTGCTATCTCTAGAAACTTCGGAAAACGCAGGATTTCTTAACAGTATGCTAGATATTGAAATCCATCTTTTACAATTTAACCTCACAGATTAACGTATAGAAACAAAGGACAAAAGATGTTCCTTCGATCTCGTACTCTCACCTTTCAACCCTATCGCATGCATGCAATTAACGCAAACATGAACCGTTTCCTCTCCTCCACTTTATGCTTATGACTGACTGAACGTTCCTTATTTCCTCTTGCTGGATTGCGAAAGAAGTAATGCTGAATGAGGTGAGATACTTCTCTGCACTTCACGGAAAGGTTCAGGGCATGTGTAAGAAAAAATATACAACATATTGTTTAACGCTAGAAGATCTACCATGACAGATTTTGTATCTAGTTCAGAAAGATGTAATATTCTGGAACCTAAAGAAAACAGAAGTAACGTATTCAGAGGCTACAGAAAGACAGAAATGGAAAGGGTGAGTTATGTTAGGAGTATGTTAGCTACTACTCAGAAACTATTTTTTCCACAGATAATCAGTTCTCTGTAAATTAATTCAAATTCATCACTTCAGCTGAATCCGCGTCTCTAATTAACAAGGAGATAACAAAACCACTGTAGATTTGAATTTGATACGTTGGCGTTGTCTATGTAAGCATATTTATCTACTTTTACTGTCAGTCCTAAATTTCATGGAACGTATTGGTGTTTTTTTTTTTAAAATGTCCACAGAAATAGTTTTAAAATTTGCGTACTGCTTCATTTTCAAATCTATAGAATTAGCTTTTTTTGACCCAAGACTCCTACAAATTCTAAACTTTTGCAATTTCGAAAATTTCATTGGTCAACGAAATATCTATACCTGACTCATCATTTAAGAGTACCTCTTTCTACCCATGCCAAAAGTTATATAACCAATTTCATTTTAAAGTCGCTTTTTGATGTTTTTCTTTATAAATAGTTATTATCTTGAATGTATGATATTTACTACTAATACAACTTGATATTTCAAAAATATAACTATACCCTTTTCAAATATTCATGTTAGAACTAACTTCACTTAGAACTAAAATTCTATCATCAATATTTACTTGTTGCAACGTAATTTTTTCCATGTTCGAAAATATATATTTTTTTGCCGGAAATTGGGTCCATCCTCATTTTTTTACTACTAGCCCCTACGGTAGAACCGAAACACATATTTGCATACGAAAATGAATTTAAAGAATATTGTAGAAGAACCTTGCCTTTGAAATTTTCGTTGAAAATGGAACGGTATTAATAAAATGACTATCATGAAAAAAATGTCGTTTGAGCGCCTTCTGAAATGAGAATTTTAAAATTTCATTTTCATCAGAATGTGTACAATTGCTAATAATGTAAATATTAACGATTAAAAAAATACCATTGTGGCAACTTTTAAATAAACAAAATATTCATCAAAGTGATATTGATGACATGTTATTCAGTCCAAAAATGATTGTTCAAAAAAATTTTAAAGGAAACAATGTCGACGCGTTTTTTAGAAAAATGCGTTCTGAAACGTTCTTAAGTGCATCAATTTTCGTGAGCCTCATTTCACATATAAACTTTTGATGATTTCGTGAATGATTATTCGAGACTTCATTGAAGCTATGTATTCCTCTTGAATGTTATGTTATACAATAACCGTATGCTAATATTAATCTGTAGTGCGGGAGAGATAGTATAAAAAAAATTGTACACAATTACAGGTAGTTTTAAGTCATAGCATTATTGTACATTTTACCAGTACCCCAATCTCAATAAGCTTAAATACAAAAATGTAGCGCCATTTGCAAAATTCTTGTTTTCATATTTTAATATTGTACATATTTTACGTTAAGACAACCAAAACATTCGAACCTTCCAAACAAAAATTATCTTACAGAGAGTGTACAATCCTTAATGAAATATATTAACCATGGAAAAGTACTAATTTCATTTTAAATAGAAACTCTGTGTCTATTTGAATATACCTATCGTTGAGAAAATTTGTTCCAGGGCGGTGCAGGAATGCATGCGCTCCATCTTTTGAATAGTTGGATGTCTCGGCTCGAAATTCTCTTCAAACAGAAGGTGTTTGTAAAGTATATACGAAAAATGTGACATATCGTTATGTGCGGTTATCGGGACCTGCTTCTAAAAGCTGGAAAAAATGACATGATAATTACGGTCATTTTTCAACAGAAACTCCACTACCGCACACACTACTTAGTTTACTCAGGCTTTAGGTTCCCGTTTATGGAGACCAGAATGGTTTATGCTTCCCGCGCGCGCTTTGATCTGACTCCGTTTGCGATTTCGTTTGGGAAACCATGAAGATCGCATAATTCGACAAATCTCTACACTGCAGATAGAATGCAAGCATAGGTGTGTCCCAATTCAAAATTCCTGTAGGCTAAAAGACATCTCTCTCTTCTTTCTATTTTATCGTACCCTGTCACTATTTCGCATCTGAGGACTCGTCCGCCATGATTTCATAGCTTGCCGATGCATCTATTATAAAATTTAGCCCTGAAGAAGATAATTGAACAAATTTAAAACCTATTACAAAAATTCTGCAAAATTCAACTAACAGTAACAATCGACGTGATGTCACCTTTGTTAAGCTGATTCACTCTATTCTTTACAAGAATTTAAGCATCCAGCTGATTACATAACTTCTCGATTACTTGATAATTCTTTTCAATACTTCGAATTGAGAAGAATGTAATAAGAAGAATTTGGAGCAGGTTTTTAGAATATTTGTTTCAAAAATTGTCTTGTTTCATGCAAAATACGTTTCAACAACTCTTACTTTCTTTACATTATATGATGCAATTTTCTATTTCTTGTATTATAAATATTTTATAAGAAATAAATTCTACATCTCAATATCACAGACTATTTAAATTATTAGTTATAGACTTTTCGTTATTTGACATTTATTTTAATTTTCCATCCTATCCTTTTTGGATAATGTTTACCAACTTTTCACCTGAGTTTTAATTTCATAGCGCTTGGTACCAATAATTCCCCTAGTTAGTCTACGCGCTTCTTTTATTCCGTATTCACGTATTCCCCTCAACTTGACTTTGTCAATACCTCTCAATACTTTTGGGTGTCAAGTCGAACTATTCCAATTCACCATATGTAACACCTTTTAAATTGCTTTCCTTCTAATTTCTTGAAGATTTTTTTTCTTTACTGCGGACTGGCTTCATTTTTGCCAAGGCTGAAAATGGCCACTTCCATTATTGGACAAAAACCCATGAATTTGCCGAAAAAGTTCTTCTTTAGATATTTTTATATTGCTATGCCTCATGTTTCTTTTCGACAATGAGCAATCTGCCAGGACCTCACACTTAACAGCGTTTCTCTTCAATTATATCATGAAAATTAGAAAAGACATGCTTTAGTCTGATAATTTGAACACGTCTGTATACTTGAAGAGAGATATTGAAAAACAATGAACTTTTGCAAATTTCGAAATCGAAATCAACGAAAATGATTCCTGCAACATTCTTAAAAGTTATTTACGCACTCCGAGAACTTAAAAATTAACATTAAAAAAATGATGTCATTTTTTGAGAAAATTTTGAAATTGCTATTGAGGCTTCTTGTAAAGTACCTCCCAAAACAAAATATCTGTTTCAAACTATCAGGGCCTCGAGTTAGTTCAGTTCCTTCGGGAAATATGAGTTCTGGAGAAATAGCGAAATAGTTTGGAGTTCTGGAGAAATAGTTTAGGCCGGACCGGCATTTTGCCTTCAATCGATTTTTCGGTATCAAATAGTCATAAAACATGGGTTATGACTACACAACGAGTTAGAGAAAGTAATTTACTTTACAGCCTTTACTTTAATGTTACTAAGGACCGACAATTAGAGATTTCTCTGAAAAATTGGCTGATTTCCGCTTCCCTTTACTACTTACATAATAACGCGAACAAAAATAAATACAGAGTTCCCTAAAATACGCCATCCGCTTTCGCGTGTTGAAAACCAATCAAGGGCCGTATCGAGTGTCGACTGCAAAAGAAACGCATTTCAATGTCTTTGATGATTTGACGAATGCAGTGCTAAAAGTAATTGAATCACGTCTCCATTAGAGCATGTTTGGTACGATAAGCGGTTTAGAAGAAATTGACTTCAAGAATGTGAAACATTTAAGCTTTTGTACACAATACACATATTACAAATCAAAAATCCATTGTTCGATATTGTCATCCCCTTTGTTGTTTCATTGAAATCCGAGTTAAATCAACAACTAGCGTTCAGAAGTTCGTTTTTAAAGGATTAGTAATGGATTTTTAGAAACGTGAAATAAGCCAAACCAAAAATTGAAGTTGACGTTTATTTTTGTAACTGTGGGTTTAATATTTAGGATTGAATTAAGCCTCACAGTTCGTTTAAGTTACAACCTGAAACTGCATTATACGGTCATGCCGTTCCCTTGTAAGCACCAAAACGATATCTCGGTTACCGCGAGGGCGCGTATCCGTGTGTTTCTTGCTCGAGGGATGGCAGCTGGTTGGCGGGTGTGTCGCCGCCCGCAGAGGGCAGGATAGTGTGCGCCACCCCAGACGGGTCCACAGCTGTGAATGTCTCGTCTAAGCCCTGCGCGACGTAATGCTTGGCACTGGAACGCCCCGTCGCAGTGTGGTCTATGGCGGTGTGCGCCTCCGCGGTGGGGTCCGGTCCCGGTGCAGACGGTACGAAAGCAGTGTGCTCGGGTCCGCTGGAGTCCATTTCGGGAGCGGTGGGCTCTATAGGTATGTCCTGTGATGGCATCAAAGGCTGTTGGGCTGCCGCTGCTGATCGCCCGAGGAATTCAGTTAGAATCTCGTGTTCACTGCCCCGTGACGCCCGCTCCTGGAAAGAAAAAACGCAATGAGACCGAAATAATATAATTTAGTAAGAGGTACTACTTGAGATTCAAGAAAATTCTGTTCTGGTTCAGTAGGTGGGGAAGGGAGAATGACCGCCGCCATACGTAATTTTTATATTAATGGGGTGATAGAGCTTCCTCATAATGAGAAAGTCACAAGGCTGACCAATCGATTACATAAAAATAAATTTCGGTGGCATGAAGTAATTTTTTAGGTATAACCACTAGTCACATTCATGCCGCTCGTTCTTATCGGTTTTCAACGAACTAATTCAAATCGTCTAGTTTTTACATAGCATTGTTTACCAAAAGATGACATGTTCAGTTGATCACAAATTTGGGATGCAGAGAGCTGACAAATTAATTGCCGTCACTGTAGCTGAGGGAGATGTGTGTTGGAAACATCAAGGACATCAGTGGCACCGCATTTTCCAACATTGTGTTTCACCCATGAAAACGTTGATTTTGCTATCGCTGTTATGCAAATTTTCTCCTCCAGCGATATTTAGAATGATCTTGTCCCAAAGACTAAAGAAAGAGTGTTTATTTCAGTGGAAAGTAACTGTCGTATGGGCAATTACATTGCAATAGCTGAAAACTTCCTGAATGTGGAAAGAACGTTCATGATTGGAGTTCAATTTCATATTCTCAGGCTATTAAAAGGGAAGGCCGGGACTGCTTAATACCATGTTTTACGAAACTCCGGATTAGTTTTGACAAGTTTGAATGTGTCAATGAAAAATAAATTTATTGAGCTCCCTTATTGTACTTTTATACGTGAATGTCGAAATTTAGAGAGGTTAAATGTCACTAAGTCAAGATACGCCAGACAACCTCAATTCTGAGGATGGTTGGCACAGGCCTTTCCGCAGGTAGGCCTCCTATTTCCGTGAAAGTGTGGGGGAATAAATGAAAGTAAAAATGAGTTATTTTTCAACGTTTTATTGTCCTTAACAAATAAAAACCAGCTTTATCGCAGTTCCGTCTTCCAGAACACTCACAAAGGCAAATAAAGCAGTCTTGTTAATTTCATGTATTTAACTAGGGGTGCTAAAACAGCACGTACTTTCTCCCCCATATTTTCACGCAAAATATCGCGAAAAGCACTAAGATTTTCGAAAAATTTTACATGACCTTATTTCAAAATCTGTCTTTAAGGAACAGATATCACTAAGGGAAATAATATGTATCTTCAATATTTAATTCTAGAAAGACACCGAAAAAAATTTCAACTTTTGCAATTTTCGAAAAGTAAGAATTTTTTATCGAATATAAGACCTGCACCAGTCTATTAACATCCTTCACACTATCCAACAACAAAATTTAAATTGAAAACAATGTAGCCATTTTTTTGAAAATTAGTGAAATGTCCCAGAGACTTCATGTAAAAAACCCATCAAAATGTAAAGTACCCCCCAAAGGGCCGCCCCATCAGCCACATCAATTGGGAAATATCAATTTTTGAGAAGATCGGCTGGCTATTTAACCACTATCGTTGTTCTCAGACGGCCCCACAGACGACGCACAGGAGGATACACGTTTGTCCGTCATTCGATTTTTAGGTATAAAGGACCTACAAAACATGAATTGTGGCTACAACACGTGATAGAGGATTTTATTCTAATTTAGCACGGGATTTATCCATTTTTCATCACCTGGACCCTGTAATAAAAGTTTTCTGCCGAGAATTCCCGGATTTTCGTGCAGTATTTCATAACTTCCTCTTTATTCCGCAAGGAGAAAGTAAAAATTAGTGTTAATTTGAATTAATTAGACTTTTATCTCTTAATTTGAGTATGTAACCTCATTTAATTGTTCCCAGCTTCGCGTTAGAGAGAAGTTATACTTACTATGAACTAGCAGGCAACTGTGTCAGTTGGCAAGTGGCAGCATCTTCAAACACAAAATTTGGAAAATTTGGTTTGTAATCTTCCACTTTTTTGGGAACTTTCTTGACCTTTTGGTTTTAAACACGTTCATGGGGTAGAATATCAATTGACCGTTGCTATTTTGAGTGTCTGACTACAATCAAAATTTTCCAATTTTAAGAGAACCCTACTAAAACAAAATCGGGGCTTGGAAATAAATTAATAAAAATAAAACAAACTGGCCATTTTCAGGCAAGAGATCTATTCAAGAAGTTTGATACATTTTCATTAAGATTTACATAATTAATTTACTACTGTAGCCAAAGTATTTTCAGAAAATATTCAAGATATTCTTAACTGTGACACTACTCATACTTTCTCTCGTAGTGTGAGAAAATATCAGAAAAATAGTTTTACTTTCTGAAGATGGTTGGCAATCAGGAAATGGGGCAGTTTGACAGTGTGTCAACCAACCTCGATTTAATTGCGCCAAGCAGACCCAAACGGGATATTGTATTGATGATATCCGTAGATTTAAAAAGGAAAATAAAAGCTAAGGAGTACAAAAATCAGGATTTTGGTTGAAGGTTTTACCTGTAAAGAAAAGTAAAATATTTCAAGAAAATCAATAAACTACGAAAATATCTCTTTCCAAACAATAAAACGCATTTGATATCATGGTGCCATTGGTCATACTGAGTTGCACTTATTATACTGAAACTGGGTGGAAGACTGTGGGAAGTTCGTTAGGTTGTAAAAGATGTAATATCAAGATAGGGCTAAGGGAAGCTTCGTGATCGATGAACGATGCTGAATCCCAATCAATCATTTGTGCCAACCAACTCCGCTCTCTCCTACATTATTTTAATCTATTATAGAAAAAATATATTGATTAAAATTTTGTTTTAGAACCCAAAATGTTAAATTAAATAAATAAATAAATTATATAAATGAAATAAAATAAATAGTATTGCCATTAGTATTATTAATAAAATTGTAATAATAATATTAATATTAATAATAATAATAATAATAATAATAATAATAATAATAATAATAATAATAATAATAATAATAATCTCCTATATTATTTCAGTGCGGCTATCACACGCACCCAAATCTTGATAAATGAGGTCTCTAAGAGAAAAATAATTTTACGAAGACATGACGAATTGCACTTTCACTTTAAAAATATGAAGGATTTGTTGAAAAACGCCCCTAAATATTTAAGTCAAATGCAAACCGCAACACTCGATCTTATTGTCAAAATCTATGTAGTTAATTAACTCCACAAAAACGAAGCGTTCTATGGGATTAAAGCTGGAATTTTGAGGGAAATGACCTCAAAGAAACTTTGCCATACCGTAATCTACAGAATGAAATATTATTAGACTTTCTATTGAATTCTGCTGTATTTATCGACGTTTATCGGTACTCCCCAATGCCATAAGACGCCCTACATAAGACGCTCTAACCTGTCGTCAGAAATTTGAATTCCTACATGGTATTAAATATTGTAATATTTGTTTGTTAAACAAACGTGTACGAAGACTTTTTAAGCCTACAGAAACTGCTTTTTTATTTCGTTTCAAAATATCAGGGGTTTTGTAACATTTTGAACTTTTGTAATACAAAGGAATAAATTGTGTATTCTTAATTTCTAAACCTGATATATTTATAAGGGAAGGGAAGGGAATGTTACATTAGCGGCGAGCGTATAGTACGCAGATGTCTGCGATAGTTGCTCGCTATTTGTTGGTACCTTTGGGCCCGGGAAGAGGTGGGTCACGTGGCTTTTTTGGTATTTAATCTTGAACCGCGGCGTGGCACGTCGGGTGAGAGAAAGGCGGGGGGGGGGGCGCCCGCATGCAGATGTGTTTGTCGGCGAGATGCTTCGTAATGCATTGATGGAGAGAGTCATGTTTAAGAGATGTTTGTAAACATCTGACAGGTGGGGTTCTGGAGCTGAAGGTGCTCCCGTGCGTCGGGGAGAAAGACTGTTCTTACTAATGACACCTCTCCGGCGGCCGGCAGACGGCTGTCGGTGCCCGTGGAGAAGCCCTAGGAGTTTCCTACAATCCCTTCAATCGCTTTTTTGCTCTAATGTTCGTACGTGCTTCAGCGAGGGCTGCTAGAGCCGTGAGAAAGGCTCGCCCAGAGACACATTCTTCGTGAATTACTTTATTGCCTATTTGTAGTGCAGTATCTGTGCTATCAGTGCTGAGTATCCATGACGTCACATTATGTTGAAGGTTTGTTTTATGAACCTGAATTGCTTAAGACAAAATATCCAGATGTTTATTTGGTTGAAAAAGTATTGAGAAAGAAAGGTGGTAAAGTGTTTGTTAAATGGTTAGGTTTTGAGAGTTCTCATAACACATGGATTAATAAAGCAAGTGTAGTTGTTTAAATGACTTAAGGATAATCTTAACACTAAAAAACATTTACTCATCATCATCATCATCTTCATCGTCACTGTCACTACTTTCTGGTTCTGATTGTTTTTCGTCTGATTTATTTGTAAATTCAATATTATGGAAACTTCTACCTCCACCCAATTTAATTTTACCTTGATAAACGAGATAAAGTGTATCTTTACCAGTGTTAATTATATTTTGGGTTTCTTCATCAAATATGTCGATGTAACAATCGGGTAAAAACATCTTATAGTCACGTATGTAAACAACATTCTTATTTCCAAGTTTAGTTTCTTGTAGTTCGATAATTTTGATTAATAGTGTTTTGTTTTTTGGTATTTCGTTTAGACTCTTGAATTGAACATTGGGTTTGTTTCATTGGTTGAGTTTATTAATAACGGATTCCATAATCGTATTTATTACATAATTAAAAATATTTTTTAAAATCATTTGGCAAGCACTACAAATAGGCAATAACAGTAATTTCACGGAAAAGAATGTTGTCTACTGACGCGAAGCCTTTCTACGGCCTCTAGCAGCCACTCGTTGAAGCACGTAACGAACATTAGAGCCAAAAAGCGATTGAAGGGATTGTTTAGGAAACTCTAGGGCTCTTTCTCCACGGGCACCGACAGCCGTCTGCTGCCGCCGGAGAGGTTCCCATTTAGTAAAGAACAGTCTTTCGAACTGCCCCGCGCA